TTACAACATAAAATGGATCATTTTAAAATATGATAACTATCAACAAAATAATTTGTGTTCACAGATGAGATAATTGGTGTTAGATTATCCAATAAACTCTATCAATTTTATTGATTTGTAGTATTGATATTCAATTAGTTTAATATAAACTTTAATGGCTCATAATTTTTTAATTTTTTAAAAATAATTTGACCCACCAAAACCTGCAAACCCACCCACCATCCGCTGTCACCCACCCAACCCACCCACCACGATATAAATGGGTGGGTGTGAGTCATATTTCATCACCCATCATAATAATGGGTGGATGGATTTTGCCCAAAAACTCACCCAACCCACCCATTGCCCATTCCTAATTGGCGGACCCAATTTACATTCTGCAAAGGAGAAGGACGTACAGTTGTAGCGGCGGTGCGTTTAATTGGATTTTCTGTTTACCTGTTCATTTTGGTTATTTAATAGTTTAATGAGTAGATGCAGTCTTTATTTAATTAGTATTATGTTTTCTACTTAGTTTGGAATTTGTTTTCATATTTTTAGAACGATAGATTTATGTTATTGTGACCTCTATATAGAGGGCGTAAAACCTACGAATTTTGTATCTCAATACCCAATTCATAAATCAAATTTATAGAGTGTTTACTCGTGCTCATTCGTGAACATTGTGCAAAATATTTCTGCCGAAGATTCCAGGAGATTTTCATGTGTCTCTTATCAGCTAGAGATCACGTATAGTTGTGGCGAGCATCTACCCTATATCAATTGCCCCTTTCCATGAGTTGATTTTGTCCGATTGGTTTAATATACCAATTACCCTTTGTCATGAGGTCGGATTGCCCGATTGATTCCGTATCTATCTTTATTTTCGAGTTCAAGAAAGGAGAATCAAGAAAAGTGTAAAAAGATCGTTAAAGCAGCGTACTTTGGTCATATCATCCGAGTTCGAGTGTTCTTTTCGGATTTGGATCATATCACGGACTTAGGCACTAGCATAAAGGTGATGTCATATCAGCTGTTTAAAAAGCTAGGCCTAGGATAACCCAGTAATACCAGGATGAGTATACAGTTAGCTGATCGTTCCATTTTGCATCCCATAAGCATTGTAGAGGACTTGATTATCATAGTAGGCCCATTTGCATATCTTGTTGATTTTGTGATTCTTTATATTAATGAGGATGTGAAAGTGCCTTTAATTCTGGGTAGAATTTTTCTTGCCACCGCCAAGACTCTGATTGATGTTAATGATTACAAGCTGATTTTGAGAGATGGGGTGAACAAATTACACGTTTTGTTGCTGATAATCTAAAACAGCCCAACTACATGATAATTTGGATTACTCTGATGTGGTTGCTGACTTTGAGACCGCACTCGCATCACGAGTGCAGGTACTGATGATTCCCATGAGTGTTGTCTTTTGCTAAGGGAACAATCACCACAGGAACTGCAGTTGAAGGAGAAACTGGCAGCACTAAACGAAGCTGCGATCCTGGGGCACGAGAAATCATTCAAGCCGATTGCTCCATCTATGCGGATCACCACCTCACTGGAGAAGCCACTTGAACTAGAGCTTAAACTCCTCCCTGGTCACTTGGAGTATGTATTTCTGGGTGAGGGTGATAAGCTGCCAATCAATAATCATCAGCTTGGAACTGACCCTTGAGCAGAAAGGAAGTTGGTGTCCCTACTAAAGAAGCATGCACTTGCTATATTCTAGAAGATCACAGACAGCAGGGGCATCATCCCCTCTTTCTGCTCCCACAGGATTTTGATGGAGCAGGAGGTCAGGCCAGTAAGGAAGCCTCAGTGGAGGTTGACTCCCAATCTGGGGGCACTGGTCCGGGCCGAGATTATCAAGGTGATGGACGCATGGATCATCTTCACCATCTCGGACAACCAGTGGGTTAGTCCCACTCAGAAGGTTCCAAATAAAGGCGGGATGACTGTTGTCATGAATGAGAAGAATTAGCTTATCCAGATGCAGATAGTGATTAGGTGGCGCGTTTGCATTGACTATCGTCGACTGAATGACACCACCAGGAAGGACCACTTCCCGATCCCGTTCATTGATTAGATGCTGGAGAGACGGACGGGACATGAGTTCTACTGCTTCTTGATGGTATGTCCGGGTATTTCCAAATCCCGGTAGCACCAGAGGATCAGGCGAAGACCACTTTCACCTACCCCTTCGACACCTTTACATACTGGTGGATTCCCTTTGGTGCGATCTTTAGCTTCCATAGCTTTTGTTTAGAATTTTTGGCTTGGAATATCTCTCTATTGGATTTTGTATTCATCAGGGTCCAAAAACGTAATTCCGCGTAGGGCTAAGAGAGTGCAATGGGTCAGTCCGGTTTGAAAAGAACCAAACTCATGAGAACCGCAGTCCATTAGTAAAAGACATCTGAGGACCAAAGCCGGACCATCATTGCATTCGGTCCATTTGGTTCAGTTCGGGTCGATCCAAATATCAGTTCAGTCCATCATTTCTTCAGTAATTATAAAATTCATATGGACCAAGTATCGGACCACATTATACTCGGTCTTGTACGGTCCGTTCCAAACATACGCCTCGACGCTAAGTAGTGACAAAACACTTCATCTAGGTCTCCGGTAGACAATTAATCAGTGTGACGCATCCTTCACTCCTCCTTCGATTTGGAATTGAGATTCTAGGTCAATGAGATAGAGAATCAAAACTTGCAATGAATTCTCCTTTTTCGGTCCATCCCTTTCGATCCATGAATTTGTAGTTCTTCTCCATCTCTAGTCGTCTCGACCCTCTGTCCTTATTTTCGATACCGTTGACCACAAAGCAGCCACAACCTATGACTTCTTCAGTTCTTCTCCAGTTTCAGTCGACCCAACTTTCTACCCTGCTCTTAATCCTTGTCGACTACAGAGCAGTCACAACTCACGACATATATAAACTTATGATTCTAGGAAATCATGACAAATTTTACTTGTTGTTGAGGGTTAGCTAAGTTATTAATCTTTGTAATTGTACTAAAGAAAAAAAGTGCTATAAAATAATTATTTCTGCTAAAAACCACTAATTTGTTTAAAACACCTAGGCGTAGGGGTGTGCAACAGTTCGGCCAAACTCATGAGAACTGCGGTCCATTTTTGAAAGATATCTTAGGACCAAAGACCAGACCATCATTGTCTTCGGTACATTTGGTCTGGTTTGGTCCGTTCCAATTATCGATTTGGTCAATGTTTTCTTCAATAATTATAAAATTCATAGGACCAATTACCGAATCGTATTATACTCGATTCGATACGGTCCGATTCAAATACTATTTTTGAACCTTGATTTTCATTAGCACCATGAGTTCTTCGATAAATTGATAATTTGTTTTATACGGTATAAGTTATGTTTCTTGAGTGCATCCATACCGGTTTATCATCCTCTATAGTGCTTGTAGAGAGGGATTTCCATGATATGGTGTTGATCTATTTCGTTGAGAAGCTCCTAAACCTTCTCAACATTCCAGCTTCTCAAGTTTGGGATCGGTTAGCATGCTAACCCTTCTAAGGGGTTGGAAAAATGACACCCCTATTAATTATAGTTATTTTTTGTATTAAATTCGTGTTGCATTTAATAATATTTGGAAATTAAAAACTCATCTTAATTACATTCCTTTTTTTTAACTACCATTGTACTGATACAACTACCATTGCACCTGTATACTGAACTCGTATTAATTACGTTTCTTTTTTGGAACTACCATTGCACTGATACATCTACCATTGCACCTGTACACAACTACCAGTGCACTGATACAACTACCAGTGCACTGAAAAAAGGAAAGTAATTAATATGTGTTTTTAATTCATACAGATTATTAAATGCAACACAAATTAATTACCTTAAAAACCTATAATTAATAGGGGTGTCATTTTTCCAACCCTTTTATGGGTAGGCATGCTATCTCATCCTCAAGTTTTGGTACATAAGCGATTGCCCCCTCAAATCAGGGTAATGTTGCTAGTAATTGCTTGATTTGTTACTCTCCGCCATCTGTCGCTCCAAACTCTTACAGTCTTTCCATTAAAAATAGAAATTTAAACGATTTTTAATAATGCAAAACTATCATCCATATTTAATAAAAGATTTCCCTTATTTTTATCATTGGATTTGTACATCTAAGAGCTATGAGGCTCGGGAGACTGAGTCACTTGACTATGAACCCCATGGTCATGGAGATCTTCCTCCTTAGTTACATTATCTCATTTCCTTTAAATTACAAGAAAATTTATATATTTTTTCTTCCAGATATCACCCATCAGTAACTAAATCTAGACTTTTGGATTTAAGTGGATCTAGAAAATCCAGATCTAAGAGTTATGAATTAAATGTATTTCCTTTTCATTAGTTTTCATAATCGGCTCTAATCTTCTTCGTTCTAACTTGAATTTCAAATTTTTTTGTATAGATGGAACGAGTTCGTTGTGCTCCACAAAATGCGATCAATTTTCAATTTTTTTTTAGAATTGTTTTACATACATCTCGTTACCAACTTCATATCATATGATATGTCCTTTGTTTTTAAGTCGCTTTTGAAAATATTTGCACAAAAGGAACCAATTCAACATGATCTATTGAATCTACAAATTTCTGGGTGAAAAAAATACAGAACCAAAAAATATCATACTATACCAACCTGGTATGGGGGTGGTAACTTGTGACACACAATGATAAAAGTCGTATATGCCAGTTAATATACTCATATTATCATGTATACAATCATCCTACAGTCTGGTATGTTCATACCACCATGGTACGTTTTCATACCATATGGTATGCTCTAATTTAATATCAGTCAGTATCATATGGTATAAACTCGTAAAAATGCCTTAATTTTTTTTTTCTTAAAATATATCAAAGTCGATATCATTTTGAAGAGCACAATTAATTTGATTTATCTGTGCAAAAAAATTTAAATCCCAACCTAAAATGGGAGTGAAATCATCCGTAAATATTAAAGAGAAAGATTAAAGCCTTTTCCATAAAATAGAGAATGATGATATCACGATGATGTGTACAAATTACTCACCGTTACTAACACTAAAGTTACTGACCTAATCCGAACCCATAATTTTTTTTTATCTAAAATTACAAGTAACATTCAACTGTGCTCTCTTTTCTTTCCTTCCACGTTAATTTCAGCTGCTACTCAAATTTTACATCTCAAATAAACAGACTGCACAATGACCGAGATTGATTCGATCAACCAGCCCGGTTGGGACAGACCGCAATATTAAAAAGCTCATCACAACTCTGTCTTAACCTCAGTAAACTCACCACTGTTCCAGTCTGTGGCCGATTCCATAATAGCAGAGACGACAGTTCCCCCATTGTATCCATCCATCAACAGCTTCCCTATTTTGGATCTCCACTCCAACCTCTCCTTCTCGCTCTTCCTGTCGTGGACTACCCGATCGCAGTAGTTCAGCATCGTTCCTAACCCGGTGTTCGGTGTCCAACCATACTGCATTAGCACCTTCGCTTCCCCCTCACTCAAGTCTTCTCCAACCTTCATGATTCAATAAGAACACGGATTTCCCAACTTACAGACCAATACAAAATCAAGCAGAATCAAAATTCCCCTTCTGGATTTAAAAAGTATCACCATGAGAAAGACCAGTTTCCTTAACGACTCTTGGCGGAAACAGAAGTCATGTTTAAAGGGACAAAGTGAAGTATCTGACCTTTAAGGGTTTGTTCTCAATTAGCGTAATTCTTCCACACCCAGTTAGTTTCATTGCAATTACTAAGCGCTTGATCTGCCACTGGATTGGCCGCGAATCCACCAGCTCAAAGAAATATGTCGCATAACCATACTCAGGACGCTCAAGCACTATCCTGCAATTTGTCCACGCATTACATTAAGTACTTGCCAATCATTAACAATACGATGGGCTTTCACCAGTTCTATTATATTTTATTTAATATGAAATCAAAAAAGTTGAATTTCGGGTCACCTATTATGCCTCTCAAAGACGAATATGAATGATTGGAGATCTCTGCACCAGCCCCATTGAGCAGGCCAATCACGGAACTGAAGATACCTAGCCTGAAGGAACCAAACCATTAGTACCTCTTATGATCAAAATTGACCAACACCAGTTCTCCGATCACCATGTTCAAACTATACAGGAAAAGAAAGTTGGTTTTACCTGCTCCACAAGAGAGAATAAGCATGATAAGCAATAACTGGGCTTGGCAAGGTTTGCAGCACGTATTGGAGCAAGCTTTAGCAGGAAGTTCCGCTGGAAAAACAGCTGGCAGTGAAAAGGGAAAGTGTAAGCAGAGATAAAGAGATTTGGGAAAGAAAGAAAGAAACAAAGAGCAGAAATACCCAAAAAACAAAAGAACAGGATGGGCCGAAGTTACAGAGGGTAGATGTGTTAATTATAATGTTGCCGAAGGCTAGACAAAAAGGCGATCAACAAGAAACAAAAAAATTATGAAACGAAGGTCGAAACACTTTCCACCAAATGCCAACAAGCAACCAAAAGCAACAAATCACAAAGTTAGACCAACCTTTGTCATAACATCTTCAAGATCTGCAAACCCATCTTCAATGAATGATTCATCGATGGGTTCATCATCACCATCGGCCACTCCATAAAGCTTCATTTCTTCAACCGATACTCCTTGTTCAACAAGTACCTGTCAACCAAATTTCAAATTCGAAGAATATGAGCAAGTGTCAAGAGAATCATACACAAGGAAAGGGTACTAGAAGTTTCATAGCCCACTTTTAGAAGTCCTGGAGCATCTTCCTCAAGAGCTGTCTCAACAGAGTCCCTGGAAATCATATCAGCAAGAAACAAACCCAAGAATTTTTTAACATCAATTTGCAAACAGAACGGTTTATAACTTTCAGACCAATGAGCATCTGGTAATGCAGAAAAAGAAATAGTATATTACGTGGCTGTTTTCTTTCGCTTACGCATACGATTGATCTTTATTGGGTCTGGAGCTTCTGTAGGCAAAGGATGATCACCTGATTCTGATCGAATTGCTTTCCTGGAGGTACTGAAATACCCAGAGGGTTTTGATGTAGAATTACCATTTGCAGCTTGGAGCTTCATCCTATCTTGTAATTGCATGTGGTCCAAGTCCAAGTCGTCCCCATGAGGTCCTTTGGGGCTGTCCAGTTCACTTTTCAGAGGAAACATGTCCAAGGAAGTCAAATCTGGCTTGGTTACTTCAACATGATCCAATGGTTCCGACTTGACTATGACTGAATCCAAAGGATTTGAGCTGGGAGTATTACTTGCACTGGCAGGTGCACAGCCCAACCCGTCAAGTGAATTTACAATCATAGCAGATCCCTGAGATGAACATAATCAGCACCAGTGCAAGAGCAAGTGATATTATGAACAAGCAATTTGCATTTAACTTCGAGCGGATACCATATAACCACATTACTTTCCTATCCAAACAGATGAATATGGAATATCATGATCAATCAAAAGCTTTCACAGCTGGAAAATAAGGGGACATCAGCCTGAAACTTTAGTCTCACTAACATACTTTGTTTGTGTCCAGAATTCATTAAGAAGAACAGTCCAGCACCCTGAGACTGACACAAATCTCCAGCTTGAGGATCCGAAATCTAATGTGTTGTGCATGAAAAGAAGTCTGAAAATCTTAAAGCTCACATGGCCACTGTTGTATAAATCTCAATGAAGTACTAAAAATATTCTACAGCTTAGGTATAAGATCAGACACAGAGAAGCGATTTTGACTCCACATAAAGCAAAGCAAAAGGATGGAACTTTACAATAGAAGAGGCTTGCAGTGAATTACCTCTGTGGATATCATTACAGGCTTCAGCATGTTCCTGTAAAATAATAATTAATAACTGTGTCAGATGACAGGACACACATTTTGCTGCAGTTGTGAGGGGTTTCTTGCTACACAAAACTATATACACTACAGAAAACAGCACCTTGACAGGAGCAGCATTCTTTGCCGTTCTTTCAGTACAATATGGTCAAGGTCATCTGCAAAATCAGAGCTACTACTACATCCCGAGTCCAAACATCGCAAGTCAAAGCCAGCAGCGGCAGTAGCACCATTTTGGTTTGCACTACGGGAGTCATTGGAATACCCCATCGCTACTGTGGGAGCTTTTTTAAATTTCGGAAAGTCTTCTTCAAAGTTACAGGTACTAGTACTAAAATCTTCAGCTCCAACTTTAGCATCAACTTCAGTATACGCTGCATGGATTGAACGCATATCAGAATTCAGCTTATCGCACTCACTCTCGTCGTCTCGGTGCATAGCCAAGTCTTGGTAGCAACCAGCTCTAGGGGAATGCTGACTGGCAACAGACCTAGGAGGAACTACTAAATTAACTTCCTTCTCCTTCTCTGTGTCCACTCTTTCATCATCTCTCTGTTCATTGACAACGGAATGAGCAGGAAAGGAAGAAGTTCCCTGCAAGAAACACACACCGTTGTGATCATCTACATATGATCATGCCAGATTCATCTCTTCCAGGAATCCAATCGTTCTGATATTTTACCAGCTCGTCTAGATGAAAATGTATATAAAGGACATGGTAACAAGATCAAACTTTCTGCATCACTTGATTCTATCTCCTCCAAAGCCACTGTTTCCACTCACTAGTCCTTAATAAGTTTCTAAATATTAAGATTTCCAGCCACTAAACAACTAATTCCATTCCTGTTAACAGAGTATCACCACCCAAATTCCCATATTTTCCACCACAAAAGTGACCCGCCCAGACAACAACGCCTCTCTTCATAATTAGAAGAAGTATCAAATCAGAAATCCGACACTTGGCCAACAAGAAACAGCGAAATTGAAATGGGACTTGGGACGACGGCATTTGGTTTTGAATATGACTCAGACTGAAATAAAAGGCTCCACCTCCATCCTAACATTCTGATTTGATTTCTATGCAAGACTTTTTTTCCTTTCCATTCTAATAAACAATAACAATTAGACACCATCGAAACAGAGACGATATACAGAAGCTAACCGTAGACGACGCCATAGAACCAAGTCTGCTGCTGCTGGAGTAGCCTGCCCTGCGAGGTGTAGTTCTCCGACGGTCCTCTTCGACAGTCGCAATCCGCAGCGGCTATATGCGCGTGTAGTCGGAGATTTCAGGCGTCCCCGGCGCCGATATTTTCAAACCAAGGGCTTCCGAGAGCCAATTGGATGGTAATAGTAGAGGAGCGAAGCGCCTAGAAGTAGATGGGATGGCGGGATTGAGGACTTTAGTTCAAGGTACTGATGAAGTGCAAGAGAATGGCTGAATGGGAGATGGAACAAATCGTCAAAATCGATTCTCTGAGAGACTGGCCGACAGACAGAAAGTTTATTTGTTTCTGGGAATCGCAGTTTTGGGTTGATCTTCGTATCTCGTGGAGGCCCAACACATGGATTCGGGCCGAAACGATTGGCAACCTTTGATTCGTACCCGGCCCGCAATCTTGGTTTTCAGACTTCACCCAGTCACAACTCACAAGTCACAACCAACTGATCTCCCAACAAAACGAGATTGTTGGCTCTCTGCTCTACTCAGTCCTGCATTGCTCAAAAACGAGATTGTTGGCAGTTCAAGTTCGGATGCATAACCGTAAGCATAACTAAATTTGGACTCTTAGGGGACATTTGAAAGTTATGATTTTTTGAATTTATGTATTTTGGAGAATTCATTGTTTTTTTGTCCTAAAACTTTATTCAATACCAAACAATACCACAATGGTATAGACAAATACTAAATGTCTCAATTTTTTTAATTCAAAAAATATATCAAAGTGAATATAATTTTGAAGAGCACAATAAATCCCATTTATCTGTGCACATTTTTTTTATTTAAAACGAAAGAGATATAGCCCATTAAAATTTAGAGAGGAAAAGGTTAGAAACCTTTTATAAATGATAATGTGGCGCTTTTTGGCAAGTTATGCATGGTTATTTACCACAAGGTTATGATGGGGATCCGCTCCCCTATGGAGCAACTCGGAGAACAAGGGGTGGAGGTTCGACTGCTTTAGTTTTTTTTTTATGGTTCGGGTTTTACCGTTTTGGCGTCTGCGACCTATTATGATGGAATCAATGATCCATAGATTTTGGAGGCTTTGGCTCTTTGGGATTGCCTTGTTGAAAATCATCCCCGAAATCTGCGGGTGCATCAAATTGCAGGGGATGCTAAGTCTATTATTGACTCGAACCTTCATAAAATTGGTGTTCTTTGTGACTGCTTGGGTGGCACAAAGGTGGTCTTCATGGGTCGTATTAGTAATAGAGTGGCTCACACAACCGTTAAATAAGCTCTACCTTAGTCGCCTCATGATCGATTGTTAAAAAATCTCATCTCCCAACAAAATAGGAACACAAAGAAGATAAAGAGACAAATCATGCAAAAAGTGTGTCGGATCAGGTAAGATGGTTCAGGTGGTTTGGATGATGAATTACAGTAATGAGGCAATTGGAATATTTGATTCAATAGTTTCGAAATTATTTCATCTCATAATTAATATGCCATTTTGAAATACTTTTCCTTATTTGTTAATTCAAATTGATGCAAATGAAGCAATTAAAATTGTCATTAAATTAATAAATTATAAATATTATGAAATAATAATTTTTACGATCCTGAGTCCCGATTATATTAATTTATTGAGGTTTTACTGGATATATTTATTATATGAACTATTAGATCTCTCTTTTTCAAATTTCAACCATTAAATCTGATTTTATATTACTACTGATTTTGTAACCTAACATAGTCGATTTCCGGCTCTTTTTTTTTATAATGGCGAAATAGTATTAATTTTTAAAAAGAGATTACAGCAAACCAGAACAAACCTAGCAACAAGCTGGAAAAATGAATCAGCCCAAACAGACCTAGCACCAAGCTGATCTCGTTTATCACATTATCACATTAGACATAGACATAGGCCCTGGAAGCAAACGATTCCGGCTCTTAATAAAAGAGTAAATTCAACATATTTATCATAGCTAGTCTCATGACAACCGGCCGCTTGGTTTCTTCTACAAGTCCATCGAAAATGTACGCCAAGTGAGTGGCTACAAATATGATGACTTTAGAAGTAATCACAAGTGACAAATTGCCATAGTAATATCCTTGTAAAACAAGGTTTTAGAGAGGAGAATGGACCACGGGAGATACATAAAAAAGAGTGATTGATAAATTGGGAATGAATATGATAATTGTGGATGTAATTTGTAAGACTAATCACTAATGGGCAAAGTCATATGTCGTCGTTCTCTTCAACTATGTGAATATGATTTTAAGATCAAAATTTGTGTGCCTCTTTTGGAAAGTCATCATAATATTTTCAAAATGTCATATCTTAAACAAATTTCCATCTATCTATTAGTGCAAGTATAAATTTCAACTCGATGTTTGTTGTTTCACTTTTGGTAAAAGTCTTTATTATTTTCAGTGGAAGTTTCTTTGGTCACGGAAACCTCAGTTAATTGAATTAGAGTTAGGTATTTTAGCTAAAGGTCACATAGCCCAACTGGTAAAATTCTTGAGAGATCCTCGATCAGGAAGTATGAGGTTCTGTGTTTGACCCACCTTGAAGTCAGTTGTGATATTCCCGGAGGCACCAAAAAGAGATCTTAATGGAGGCCGCAAATGACTCAAGCAGGTAAATCTCTAGGTTTGGTCTCACTCCACCATGTGTGCGTGAGGACTGAGAATTTTCCTGGATTATTAAAAAAATAGGTATTTTCGAATGATGAATTAGTTTGATTTTAATCAATTGGTCTGGAAGAAAATCGAATGCCATAAGAGAAAAGTACATATCATTTAGAATAGTTGTTTGCTAACAATAGTTGAACCTTACTACCTTTATAAATTATGGTATTATTACTTTTTATTATCGTAGCTCAAAATTTGATTATATGGCTAATATGCATGAATCGAAAGTTCCGTGAAAAGAGAAATATGGAGCTGAAGGTGAGATATTTCCATTTTTTAGGCTTAAACCATTTCATTTCAATATTTAATAATGGATGTGAGATGAGGATTAAAATTAAAGAAAATGCATATAGCTAGATTCTAAGTACTAAAATCTCATCAAAATAAATTTTGATTTCACCAAAATATTTGAATATTAGCTTTGACCCGATCTGTTGATCGAATTATTTTATATTAGAGAATGTGTAAATATTTTCAACATAAATAAAAAAGTTTAAATCACAAAATTATACGCATTTGGATAAATTAGTTTCTATATCTGACAAACCACCAATGTTAAAAAAACTCAATAAATTGACTCAGCGCTCGACTTTGACTACCCGATAACATAATACATTTCAACCAACTACCACTAATGTCACAAATAATATGTATACTTCTAAATCACATATAAAAGTTTTCAAATATTATGAATATATTAATTATTATAAATGTTAAAAAAAACCTCACCCTGCACCAACTGAGTGAATACGAAGTTAGTTTATACATTAAAACGTTTAACTTATCTAAAGAGTCAAAATGCATAATTATGTTCATCTCACTCATTTCTGTGTAATTATCAATTATAAAACAAAACTCATCAAACTATTAGAGTGAGTATAAAGTTAGTTCATACCTTAAATGATTTATTTATCTAAAGAATTAAAAAGTATAATCGTTTTCATCTTCACTCATTTGCACGTTATTGCTCTACAAATTCATTAACACATCCAAAAATGGTGAAATAGACAAATACATCAAACCCAATCTTGTCTCATGATTGTTGAGTCCAGTCACGATGAATTAGCAAAAGGCTTAAGGTTCCTCGATTGCCCAGGCCAAAACTTTCAGAAAATTGGTCGCTTATACTTTGCACCATGGTCGATGAAACCGTACCGTACTGACAACCACGATTTTACCATAAAATACCTACCACTGACTTTCACGGTACGGTTTCATGGACCATGCTTTGCACAAAATATCATTGATTCATGACAGTTCTGAAAATTGATGCTAATTTAAGAATTTTAAGTCGCTTCAACATATTTATTATTGTAATTTTATATGTAATATTCAAACCAATGATATTTAGGTCACAATTCTAAGGATATTCTCCATTTATAAATACATAAAAATTTAAATTAACGGTTAAACTCTGATTAAAATCATCAAAATATGAAAAATAGAAGTAAAAAACACCAAAGAAATACTTACGGGAGACTTAGTGGGTTAGCTTCCCTGATGGAGAAGTTCTCTGATTTTCGAATTTTAGTTTTACATATGTTTTTAATTTAAAATGATACACTAAATTTATTTAGTTTAATTGATTATATTATTTTTTATTTGGAGAGACTTTGGTTAAAATTTAAAGGGTTAATAGCATTTTGTACCCCTCTACTATGGTAAATTAACAAACGTACCCCTCTACTAAATTTTTGCACAAATGTACCCTTCTAATATTAAAACATAACAAGTGTACCCTTCCATCTAATTTTCTGTTAAGTAACCGTTAAATGAGTTAAAAAATTACTTTATTACCCCTTATTTACTCCTAATTTCAGTTTTTAATTATTTATTTATGTTTAATATTAATTAATAAAAAAGATAAACCCCTAAACTAATTGAGAAGCCCTCGATTAGAGACTGTCCGACTCCCCAGCTGAACTCTCCCCTGGCGAAAAGCTCGACTCGGCGGCGACACCTGCTCCGGCATCTCCTCGCCAGTGGCTGACGTAGAGAGTACCGGCGAGATAAGACGCCATCTTCCCGCATTACCCGCGACGTCCCAACGCCATCTGAACCTCCCCTCGATCACACAGCAGGGACCAGCTTCCCCGGCTCCTCCCCGACGTTCCGATGCAGCTTGTCGGATTTTCACGAGATGTTGCGACGGTGGCGCTTCCCCGTCGATCCATCTACTCGGCTGCCAAACCTCTACTCTGCTTCTCCCATCGACCACAGCTTCTCCATTGGCAAGCTGCCGGCATTAAAAGCCGGATTTCTCTGGTTCACGTACTCGCGGAAGTACAGAGGAAGTGAAAACTTCCGTCGGGTGTATTATGTGCAGGGGGGAAGGGGTGTGCTGTGTACAGGCCGAAGGGGTGAATGGGTGTGCTTTTGTTGTTTTCTAATTAGTTTATATTGAACATAAATAAAATAATTCAAAACTGAATTAGGAGTAAATAAGGGGTAATAAGGTAATTTCCTAGTTCATTTAACGGTCACTTAACTGAAAATTAGATGGAAGGGTACACTTGTTACGTTTTAATATTAGAAGGGTATGTTTGTGCAAAAAATTAGTAGAGGGGTACGTTTGTTAATTTACTATAGTAGAGGGGTACAAAATGCTATTAACCCAAATTTAAAAACTAGTTTTTTTATATAAAAAAATATAACTATGAAGATAAAAATGTTCTTTTTAGTTGCACTCCCATAGTGTACAGAGATATGTAATCATCTTCATCTGAACCGACTTTAATTAACTGATTGAACCAAATATAGCCAATAATCCACAAATGTATAGATCTGTCAATGGAGTAGTGATGTGGATTTGGGACTAAGAACAGTGCTCCAAATGTTATTATGGGGGCGACCCATGCGCAGGAAAAGGACCAGGAAACCGGTGTGCCTGTTGTTGTTGTTTGACGCCCTTTTCCTCCTACTTGAAGACTAATAGTATTATTATTATTATTATTATTATTATTAGTATTGTTATTATTTTATAAAACTTGGAGAATAAAATGGTGCTCACTTTAGGAATAGAAAGTAACAATTTCCTGAACAATATTATTAGATTAGATGACAGCTACTGCACTGGAAACTTCCTGATTTCAGGATTACCCGGCTGTTAATTTCTTGATTAATTTATATGTCAAGAAAGTCAAGTTGCACTCAAACTAAAACATTCTCATTTTCGCTCCAGTGGTAGGGGACCTGTAACTAACAAAGTAATGGGAGTCTGAACAGATAGATTATTAAGTGGAAATGAGACAGATTTAGGAACCATCAATGTTCAAGAAGACGCGATTAATCTCTCGCCTAGGCGCGATTAATAGCTGGGCAGGAGGAAATCGCTCCGTCTAGGTCTGGGCGATTGATCTAGGCACCTAGACACTCGGAGGCACGTTTTCACTCTGGTAGGCGACGCCCAGAGCAACTAATAAACAACTAATAAAGGGGGAAAGTGTAGTCTTTTTGTAAAAATCTCAAACCCTAATCTATTTCCCATTTCCATTCGACCTGTCGCTCCACCTCATCGACTAGCAGTGAGATCCCTCCTCATGGTTGGCTACTTGGGATGTTTGGGATGGTGGAAAAGAGTTGTATGTGAATATGAATGGATGAATAATGATATGGCGACTTTGGTTTTTGTGGAATATGACTTATCTATCATATTCTTTTTCAACGTTTAATCTCGCCTAGGCAACGATTAATCGATCTGGGCGCTGGGTGGTGCCTCCTCGCTTAGATAGTGCCTAGCGTCTTCTTGAACATTGGTATCATCAATGCAATCTATAAATAACCCTCCCTCCCTTTGTCATCATTCATCAGGACACCAATCTCCAACACAAATCTATCATTTACAAAAACTAATAACCACAAAGCATTCACTAATGGAAGCATCCTTCTTCTCACTGTTGTCCAAAACACCATCACAGTTATTCAGAAACTTCCAAGCCCTGATACTCCTCATCTCTATCCTTCTCTTGCTGTGGCCCTCATCTTCTTCCCTTTCTGTAGCAGCAGCAGCAGCAGCAGTAAATCTAGAAGCAGAGGCTCTTCTGACATGGAAAGCCACTCTACAGAACCAGCACCAATTCAACTACCACCCTCTCTCTTCGTGGTCTGCACAAACCAGCCCTTGTGCTTGGTTCGGCATCTTCTGCAATAATCAGGGGAGCATTGCCAATATAACTCTTGTGGGTACTGGTCTCAAAGCTACCCTTGAAGTCTTCAGTTTCTCTTCGTTCCCAAACCTTGTCTCCCTCAACTTACAAAACAACTCCCTTTATGGTCCCATTCCTTCGCATATCGCAAACCTATCCAAACTTTCCTTTCTTGATCTGTCTCTCAATGGTTTCTATGGTAGCATCCCCTCCGAGATTGGTTCATTAGTGAGATTGAGCTCACTTTCATTCACAAGCAACAACCTCAATGGCTCCATCCCAACTTCCTTTGCTAACTTGACACAGCTATTGTCTCTTGGTTTAGATAGAAACCAATTGAGCGGGTACATTCCCCAAGAAATTGGCAAGCTCGCATCTTTGACCACCCTCGACTTTACCCTCAACAAGATTACCGGTCCAATCCAAGCAGGGATCGGGAATCTGACAAACTTGTCAATCTTGCGTCTTGGCTGGAACAATCTATATGGTCCCATTCCTGAAGAGCTTGGTCTTTTGAGAGGTCTTGTAAAGCTGGACTTGTCGACTAATAATCTCACTGGCGAAATTCCAGCTTATTTAGGGAACCTGACACTGCTCGACAATCTTTTCCTTTCTTCAAACAAGCTTTCTGGGAATATTCCAAGCGAGCTGGGAAAGTTGACCTCGCTGAGTGACTTTCAGCTATACACCAATCGCCTGACAGGCCCCATTCCACCTTCTATTGGTAACCTGTCCAGATTGAATATGCTGGCATTTTCAGGAAACCAACTTTCTGGTTCCATTCCTGAAGAAATTGGGATGATGAGATCTCTTATCGTCATCAACTTGAACACCAACGTTCTCACTGGCTCGATCCCTGCATCAATTGCAAACATTCCCAACATTTCTTACATCGGCTTTGCAGGCAACAGACTTTCCGGAATTGTGCCTGTAGAGTTCAGTAATCTCACATTTCTTCAAGGTTTCGATGTTCCTGCCAACAAACTCACAGGCTCTCTTCCTCCTGATATTTGCATAGGCGGGGTCCTGAAAGTTTTCACCGCTTACAACAACTCTCTCACAGGTCCTATTCCCAGAAGCTTGAAGAATTGCAGCACTTTGACAAGGCTTAGGCTTGAAAAGAACCAACTCACAGGAAACATATCACAGGATCTTGGTGTTTACCCTGATTTGAACTACGCAGACTTAAGCGACAACAAGTTACAAGGCGAACTCCGATCATGGAACTGGGGGAGTTTATACAACTTGTCAACATTGAAGCTCGCCAGGAACAATATCTCCGGGGAAATACCCGCAGAGGTCGGGAAAGCACCACATCTGAACTTACTGGACCTCTCTTCCAACCGCCTGACCGGATTGATCCCCGGGGAACTCAGCCAATTGAGGTTGTACAGCCTTTCCCTCAATGGAAATCTGCTTTACGGTCACCTCCCACCGAGATTGGGGAATCTTTCGTACCTAGAATATCTCAACCTAGCAGCTAACAATCTCAACAGTTCAATTCCAAATGAGCTGGGCAACTGCACCAAACTACTGTCGTTGAATCTCAGCACAAACCAGTTGACGGGCTTTGTTCCTCCAGAGATTGGAGATCTGAAGGCTCTCATGAGTCTTGACCTTAGCCACAACTTTCTCACCGCAGATATTCCCCGAGAGATTGGAGGCTTGCTGTTCTTGGAGACTCTGAATCTCTCCCACAACTCATTCGTAGGTTCCATCCCTCCTGGGCTTGCCAATGTGCTGAGCCTAAGAGATGTGAATGTGTCCTATAATCAACTAGAAGGCCCCATTCCAGACATGGAATCCTTCCGACGAGCTCCATTCGAAGCGCTGAGAAACAACAGAGATCTCTGCGGCAACAACTCCGTTCTAAACCCTTGTCCGCTCGAAAACCCCACAGCAAAAGCGGGCAAGCAATCCGATGCGAGCATAATCGTTTTCCCTATCTTAGGGGGTGGGATTCTACTGATTTCACTGGCGACAGTCGCCGCGTTCTTCGTTTATCGAAGAATCAAAGCCAGAAAGGCCAGTACGGGAAACGAATACTTACAGGTTTTCGCGATCTGGACCGACGAGGCGGCACTGACGTACGAGAGCATCATTCAGGCCACAGAATCGTTCGATTCCAGGCACCAGATAGGGTCCGGGTCGAGCGGGTCGGTATACAAAGCGGCGCTACAGTCGACCACCAAACAGAACCAGGTCGTGGCCGTGAAGAAACTCCACGATCAATCTGGAGAAGGAGTCGAGAGATTGAAGGCGAATTGGAGGGCGTTCAGGAGCGAGATTCGGGCGCTGACGAACATCAAGCATCGGAACATTGTGAAGCTGTACGGGTTCTTCTCGAATGCCCAGCACTCGCTTCTGGTGTACGAGTTCATGGAGAGAGGGAGCCTGCGGAGCGTTTTGGACGATGCGGAGAAGGCCAAGGAGTTGGATTGGGAGGATCGGGTGAAGATTGTGAAAGGGATTGCGAGCGCGCTGTCGTATATGCACCATGACTGCCGTCCGCCGATTGTTCACAGAGACATTTCGTCGAACAATGTGCTGCTGGATTTGGACTTCGAGGCCAAGCTCTCTGATTTCGGCACGGCGCGGCTCCTGAGGCCCGACGACAGGGTTTCCACGACCTCGTTTGCTGCTGGCACTTATGGCTATATGGCTCCAGGTATCGTTTTTCATTTCTTCCTTTCCTTTCTTGTTTTGATTAATTCATTTTTAAATGAAATATTTTTGTGTTTGGTATTTTAAATAATTCATTTTTAATTCTGAATTTTGAATTCTATGTATTTGGAACTAGTTATAGCAATTTCGAGGAATTGAGATCGAATTTCGAAATGAATTCCACAAGTATTTACTGATTATATTAGAATGACATAATTATCCTCTTTTATTAACTAAATTACTAATACATATGACATACCAAACACAGAAATTCATTTGACGATGAATTCTACACGACAATTCATTTTATTTCCAAAGATTTGAATATGACATATCAAACACAAGATTTCATTTGACAATGAATTCTACAGGGTTATTTATTTTACAATGAAATGAATTCTCGATTCATTTGATACCAAATGGTCTATAAGGGGGAAAAAGAAAATACAGAGCCACACCTAGCAAAGTAGCAATGGCAACCGCCAACCAGTTCCTGTGACATCCATGATTATTGTTTTGAAATCATAACAATGCTCGAAATCACATGTAATTTGTAAATAGACGGAGACGTAAAATAGCGTCTTAAAACAGTGATTCAATTAAAACACATTTACACCATATTCGAATAATCATATACAAAATTTCTATATAAAGTGATATTTTTTCTTAGAATGTCAATGTTACTTTAAGTTTTCTTTTCAAGATATTGTTTATAAAAGTGAGAAAATGAGCAAGTATTTTGTCTAAGAGATAATTCTAGTACTTGAGGAATATGAATGACTGAAGTGTTGAAGTGAGTGAGTCTAAAATATAGGTGCAGATACGTGAAATACCAAATTTGCATCAAACTCATTACCCTCTTTGTTTGGTTCGTGGAAACTCCGCCAATAATAATATCAGTTGTATTTTCCCCGATCAAATCGATACTCTGATGATTTTGTTTTCCGTTCGTTTGATATCGTAGAGAGAGCTTATTCGAAGAAAGTGGACGAGAAATGGGATGTGTATGGCTTTGGAGTGGTGGCGTTGGAAGTGATAATTGGAAAGCATCCAGGAGACCTCATCTCGTCACTCACAACAACAACAAAAACAACATCACCATCGTCTTTTTCAAGTCCTCCTCATCCTACATTGTTGAAAGACATCATCGATGATCGAATCACGCAGCCTGGTGAGGATGGCGAAGTTGCAAAAGGAGTGTTTGCTATAGCAAAGTTTGCATTGGCTTGTGTCCGTGCTGAGCCTAGCTCTCGACCAACTATGCAGGAAGTTACGATGGACATGGTTACTTTTGCGATTCCTCCGCTGACTCAACCCTTCTCCCAAGTCTCACTGGAAGAATTGTTTGCCCTAGTTGACTAGGCTGCAAAAGTATAGGTATACGGTAAAAAAATATAAGATAAACTCCTCTAAAGTTGAGTTCTACTAGGAAAGTAGATAATTGGCTCTTTGCTTCTCTTCTTTATCTTCAAGTTTGTATCGACAATATCAGATATTTCTAAGACATGAACAACATAAACCATAAACTTATTAGTTTAATGAGATTTCCAAATATTGAGGATATGGAAGAGTGTTTCTCGATGTTGATTTGCACTCTTGATTTCTGGAAATCAAAATGAATGTTACTTGGTTTACACCTCTAAACAATGTTCGAACGAGGCTGGTTGATGTTTGGGGAATCAACATTAAATTATATTTACTCATATAGAGATTCTTTGCGAGTTCCACGACTACTGGCTAGTTCTTACAAGCTCTACTATCCCAACCGTGGCCAAGTGCAACAACGATCGGGTGCAGTATAGTGGAAGTGAATTTTAATGATCAACCTGGGAGGAAAATGTACTATTACTTCGCGGACTAACTCATTGTCTAGCAAATTGGAGTTTGAAGTAACTAATCAACTACAAAACTAAGCAAAGTTGTTGAAAACTATCGAGAGAAAGCAGGATATTGTTTCCCTGTAGTTGTAATAGTCAAAAGAATGACATTCCAAGTTGTCGACTCATGATTTACACCGTTCAGAATCATATTCCCGCTTGAGCTCCCTTTCAAGTTACTCAAACTCACCTAGAACGGACTATCCAGAGTGAGAGTTTCCACATCTCACAAAATAGAACGTCTATGTGCCCAATAGATTCCCACTATTGGATGATGATGCAATACAACATCGTACCCGATTTCTCTACTTGAGACTAATCACGGTTTCCCATCACAGTCTTGAGATTCACAACCAAGCCATGAGGTCAGCTGAGTTTGAACCATTTTATTAACATACTCATGGTTTTGGTGCAATTATTACAATTTGCAATCATGATGGAGGAGAGCGAGCGACTGCTTTGCTGCATCGTTCGACTCGGCGGAAGGGAAGGGCGGAATCGGATTTAGGGTTACAAATTCCAACCACAAAAATGTCGACGTTTCATCACTAGCCGGTAGCCGGATAAGTCCGGTCTAACCCCGGGTTTGACCAATTTTGACCGACTTTGACTGGTTGTCCGCTATCTCAAAATATGGCTGGTGATGCCCCTTTTGTGCCCGGTTCCGGCCCAACCATGTTGAACCGGCCGTTCAGTGCTGAGTTTGACAACCTTGTTAGAAAACTAGTTAAATTTTATCAGTAAAAAGTTAACACCCTCACAACAAAATTCTATTTCTCTCTGTACCTACTCTTTTTGTAAAAAAAAATCTTATTTAAGTCGAATGGGTGATGACCTCATAAACTCTTTGTTTATATATATGATACAGTATGAATGACATTCTTCCGTAAACTTTTCAAAATATGTAACAAATCATGAGTCATTGTAAAAATTTCATAAAAATAATCATATTTTCTTAGGTGGACACCCCTTATATAAAATTTTGGCTACTCCCATAAACTAGTGAATAGATACTAGTTATCAAGAGTCGCCTAGAAATAGGAGTGGCGTTGTCTGCATTCTGTGATGAAGTAGCATATGCGAACTCTTTTCTTTGGGTTGATGAATGATGAATGAAATACAAATTGATTAATAGAAGTATGAGATTTAAACAAATCATTTAATCTCATCCATCAAATTTGACCTCATTGAACATCAAGTGTACATATTAAATTATCACAAATGCCTAAGCAATTATTATTCACCTTACTCCAACTCGAATGGCCTACTTGGACATTTGTGTTTTACAATAAACTAGCTTATTACCCGGCCCGTTGGCCGGATTACTGTATGTTACCCACTTGTGGAATGTGAGAGAAAGCAAGTGAGAGTGAAGGGATTGGGATTCCACTTGATTAGGACCGACCCACTAATCCAATTTTTCCCGACCCGCCCCAACCTACAGGGTCAGAAAGAGTCAATAAGAAAATACGAACGGGGAGGATTAGTCATATATCTTGACTCTTCAGAAGTGGGTCAAACAGGATCAAGGTTGGGTGAGGGCAATTTTTAGCGCTAAGCAGAGTTCTGGGTTGAATACCTTTACTTAGGCCTAGAAATTGGTGCTGATGCAGACTGCAGTTTTTATTATACCATCATCAATCATCATTGAATTAGTCCTGGGCATCCCTCCCCGTTGTCGGTCTGAATTCTAATGATGGCTTCATTCATTGCACCAGCCATATCAGCGAGTTGTCATCTCGAGCATGATTTGCCTATGTACAAATAATACAATTAGAGTATGAAAATGAATTCAATGAAAAGGAAAAAAGAATTCTATCACATGCCAATAAATACACACATAATAGTTGAAGCTAAGTGAAAGTCATTACTCGCACATCAATTCTCAAAAATTACAGACTAAACATTGGCTAGAATGGCACTGAAACTACCAAGAATCATGGACGAAACAATTTGTCAAATTAAATAATCCTTATACTGAAACTACCTTCTAACTTGAAATAAGACATGATCACAGTTCATAGCTCTCTTCTCACTATGAATTGGTTGCAGCTCGTCCTTATCACTGCCTCTCAAGCTCAATTCAAACAGAATAGAGACCGTTATGTAAGATAACCATGTTCTTACTGATCATAATTCCTTTCTTCACTCCATTTTTGTCGGAGAAAAGAGTTATCCCCCTCTCCTGCATTTCCCTTTCCCCCTCTCTTCCCCCTCTTCTTCACAAACCGATCCCTAAACCAGCAGCAACAACACAAAAATAGCCTTCGCCTCTCCCGTCTCCATCTATTGAACGCGTTGGTGGCAAGACAGGACTGCAGAAGCAAAATTTTCTAAAATCAAACTAAATTTTTTGAAGCAGACTCAACCACGAAAAAAGAGTAAAGCAACAATGCAGTAGAACCCTAAATTTAACTACAATCAAGCACATATCAGCAAGATTTTCGATTTGTCTGAGAGTTAACTACACGGAGAGAACAATTGATGCATAATTGAAATGCTCCAAGCAAGTTGAAGGCAAACCATAACTTTAGAATTTGGTCATTATAATAACCTTCAAGTATTGATGCTTCTAAGAACTATCATGTCCAACCCCCACTTATACAACTACGTAGCCATAGTAATTAGTTGTATAATGAGAAATATTACAAAGAAAACTACATAAACAACCAATGTAAGTAAATATTAAAACTAACAACTGATAAAACTTAAAATCTCTCTATTGGTATAAATGTATCTATTAGTAACTACTATGCAATCGAGTATATATGATTTTTAGGCACTGAATAAGAAAAGTATAGATGGCTCACAAATGAAGACGTAGCAACTGAAGGTAGCACACAAAAACCAAAAATAGAAAAAGAGATAAGAAAAAAGGCGAGAAAAAGTCAAACAAGGAAAAAGCCCACATAGGAATACCTCGCTAGCTTTAGGGACTCTCTGCCACAACAAACAACCTTCTTAAAAATCTAACACCCTGAGACATCAAACAAACCTCCCACGACACTAATGTATGGCATTCCTATTGTCCAATAGGTTTGCCCAATTTAGACTTCTAAATAAATGGACTTTTCACCATTAAACCAAAACTCACAATCATTAACAGTTAATGCAAAGACATACATTTCTGAGGCCAATCACAGCATTTAAGCATAATTTTTAGTTGAAAAGAACAACTAAGTATTTAGCTAAATGATATAGTAGAATGGACACAATCTGCTACCTACTAATGATATAAACGTGTATCGGTACCATCGTTGTATCCTGACTTGCCATTTGCAACGGGCACTTTGAAAGACAGCTGCATTTTAGAGAATAAACACCCATAAGGGCGTTACGAAACCAAGCTTAATCCAAAATCTTCATATTCCACTTCGAAGACTCCATTTTCAAAAAAAAAGAGAGTTTAACATGTCAAATCACTCATTTGAAAAATCTCAAACAACTATTAATCAATGCAATATAAAGGCACGTTCCAAATTATGTACTTGTAGGAATAATCCCAAATAATTATCAATTAATGCCCCAACTACCTAATGTGCAGAATAGCCCTGGAGCTGTGCTTTTGTTTGCGTTGGTCTACCTTCAAACATAACATAGTTGCATCACGAACCAAAGCAATTAAGCAAAAATCTTCATATTCCAAGTAGAATGACTCAATTCAATTTGGCCAACGCTTTATACATATTGTTTACCCCTGGACCTGTTGCACTTGCGCCTTCAGATCTTCGTGAACACAATACAATTGCGGAGAGGAGGCTGTCAAAGGAATACAAATTGTTAATTAAGTGAATCACCATACAACTAAACAAACGCGCTCTTCTTGATTAGCTATCAAAATAGTGGGGGTCGCTACAATCAATCGGTTGCTCCCTCTGCGCCTAAGTTGTAGATATTAGGTTTCAGTGAGAACTTTGAGTACAGAGGAGATATTTTGTAGTGGAGGAGATGACCCGGCGAGTAGAATAGGAAGATTTGGAGAGGCTGCGATGGGCAAAGCAGTTAAAATCGAGATTTTACCTAAAATCGAAAACTGGGGTAAAATCAAAATTGTATAATCGAATCGTAAAATCGTAGGATTTTAAGTACCATATAGAACATAGCATATAAGAATATTAATAAGGTAAATTATTAATATCACAAAGACACATAGCATTTAAAATGATAATTCAGAAGATTTTTTTCCATCAGATAATTCTCAAGATTAATGTTCCAAAATCACTATTTTAATTGTTATTTAATGTGTAACTCAAAATAATTCATGATGAAGGGATATAGTTCATGGGTTTGGCTCTTATTTTCATGTTATGTCTAGGTTGTTTAACTCAAAGTAATATTTCGACATCGTCTACTAAGTATGATTTAAAACTAAAAATAATTGAACTCCAATAAAATAAGTAATGTTAGTGGCTTGGTACAAATATATTCATTAATAAATTAATTAGTTAATAATGATGTTAGTTCTTACATACTTCCAATATTAGG